GGGTGTAAAAAGACGAGGAAAACATTTTTAAACCGCACCTAATTTGGAAACGTTAAATTTTTGAATTTCAAATAGCATTAAAAAATAATTTAATTTTTGAAAAAATTTTTAAAATTTTTTAAAATTTTCTTTTTATTGGCCCCGCCAACAAAAATGCAAAAAAACCCTTTGGAAAGGGGGCCCCCAAAAATTTTTTGGGGAAAATAATTTAAATTAAAATTTTTATTCATGCCCCCTTTTTGAAAAGTCCCTTTTAAAACCCTTTTAAATTTTAAAAATCGTAAAACTTTTTGACTTATATTTTTTAAAAAAATTAAATCTTAAAATTGTAAACTTAACGGGGGGAAAAGGAAAAAATAAAATGTTTAAACAATTTTTTTTTGTTTTTTTTCACAAAATCAACACAGTAGTGAGTAAAATAAGAAAAACTTTTATTTAAAAAAAAATTTAAAAAAATTGTTTGTCGTTTGTTTTAAACCAAAAAATTTTTTTGATACTATCTCGGCGGTCGTTTAACCTAATATAACCGGTTTCCTGGATAACTAACCAGTAAATACCAATTTTCCCCCGCAAGTGCTTAACTAAATTACGTTATGCCAAGTTTTAGAAATAAGTTAATACCTAAATACCATTTAACTTTTTATTCAATGTGCAGAAATCTTAGCCATAATAATGGGTATTATAAAACATTAAAGTACTAACCTTTGATGGCATTGATTATAGGATATTCCTGTTAGCTGAGTCGATGTAACATTCGGTTAAACAGATCTAAATATATTTCCTACCTTCGACTTTGATAACATATACTTTTGAATGGGATTCATGATTTATAGTAAACTAAAGTTAAGTTAAATAATACGCATTTCTTATTTTAAAAATGGTTTACGTTTTGAATATTATTAACTTTCCTTAATTTGTGTATTACAATGGACTTGTAATATTTCGAATATGAACTCAGTATTAATGGCACACAATTAGCAACCTATAGTATCATAATGTTTAGTAATGGAGAGGGTATGCCACGAGCCCTTGATACCTATTTACAAATAAAATATAAACTGTCAAATGTTCTCTTCCTGGCTTCCGGAATAGATGTAAATTATTATCTATCTTTGAAAAAATATGCTGGCAACACAGGAGAGAAAAAATCGAGTACATAAATTGTGTCTAAAAACACAAGTTCAATTTAAGTTCGGTCAAAAATTGTATATCACTTTATCACAGATTCGCACATTGCAATTTGTTATAACATTTGAATATTTACAGTCTCACATAATCGCAAGTGTTTTGTCCATGTATCGCCCTAAGTGTCATTAACTTTCGTATGGTGCACTGCTGGGTTCATGTCGTGGAAGGTTTCGCCTTGTGAAACTTTTTTTCTGTCACGAAGGTATTTTTTTCTGTTGCAATTTTACAAAAGAGCTAGACATAGAGAAGACAACACATAGACAGTGATATTTTATGAATGCCATACCTTTATAAAGTTGTCTCGCCGTAATGGCACCATTATAATATAGATAAAATGTAAAATAAACTGTTATATAGTGAAAAGCGATATATTATAAAGTTCGGATACAAAAATAAATTTTAATGTATAATATTATCTTACATAATCTTAGCGTGTCGGATTATGGCTATTACTATATTGGATTTCCATTTTTTTCCACACACCTCCTCGATTAAAATACAACTGACCTGGTTTGAACTAGCAGGGAAATCAACACTTACTCATTTTAACAATTTTTAGGCGCCGGCGGACATCAGGTGTGTACTGCAATGTTTTTCCTTTTTCGCCTGAAATCTGTATAGCTTTTTGACTGTTCCCTGGATATACAATATCATTTTAAATAAATTAAATGAGGGATAATTCACCTTATTTCAAGCAGAGGCACGATGATGCATTTAAAGCCGGAGCCCGTAAAAACAACGAAAAATTAAGTAATGAAAGGTATTTTGTAACAAAATAGCGAGGATCTATTTGAAATTAAATGTGTCTTCTGTGACAATTATCGTGTTTGTGTGTTATGTCGTGCAACTATAACGGCTGTAAAATGCTGGCCAGTTCCTCATATCTTTTCCAGTTGGCTTTGAGGTTATTTGCTCATTTATATAACTTTCAGGAGCAAATAACTTTATAACAAGGGCAGATTCTCTCCACAGGAAGCTGACCACCACACGCCTTAACTGTTTTTCATCAATTTGTTTCAATCACGAGTTCAACCGTCCTCAAGTTCGCCGGTTTGACATTTTTATGCAATTCAGATATCGCTATTTTGTGTAAGTACAATACCGGAAATAGTATAACAACAATGCCTATAACGAATTCTATTGAATGTTGCCCTCACTTACATACATTTAATAGATCCAGCTTATATACAAATATACTATTATGTAAATTAGAAAGCCATTATTTTACATTTTACTGATCTTTTTTAATACATGCGCAAACAAATTTGAAACGTGAAATATTAAACATAAAGATACTCTTTAAGCCTATGAAATAACATATATTCATGAGTGTTTCGACAAACATATGCATAATTAAGTTTGACCTTTTAACCCCTTAAACAATGCACTCAATTGATGTTTGTCTTTGAACGAGTTCAGATAAATTTTTTGGGCATTTTAGGAAAGGCGCGTTCTTTTATTGATTAATTATGGAATGTATCGAGCTCCTGAGAAATGCTACAAAGAAAATTGATATGAAGAAATTGAATGATTGATTGGTTGGTTTGATGATTGACTGGTTTGTTGATTGATTAATTGATTGATTGATTGATTGATTTGGTTCAATGCTAAAACTAGTGAATGAATTAATGATGAAAATGACATTTTAGAATGTGGTTTATGAAGAAGTAAAATAAGTAAATCTTTTTTCCATGCATTAAGTAAGATTACTTTAAGAGATATTGTCTAATTGATTTTTGATATCAGTTTTGATAATTAGTTAATAATTTATAGATTAAAAATAACTGTCTTTGTAAATAAGCTGATAAAAGGATGCTAAGAAAAGATCAAATTATTATTCCACAGACATGCAATAATAATTAAGTCAGTTTTAAATATAAATACAAAATCTAAATCATGATAACACATTAAGCTATTTACATTATGTTGTAAAAATCTCTTTTTTGACTTCTGAAAGTATCCAATATCAGTGTCAATAATTAATTGGTCAAATTTAAGTCACGTGGCATTTTTCCGAGAAGGTATACCTATAAAATATGTCAGTAAACATATTGTTATATTTGTGTATATTACAAAAAAAGACAATTAATTTGGGTCAACACTAATATTTCAACATGACTTACAATGGGACAATAATAAAGCCGTACTATTAAGTGTTTTGCAAACATTGCAAACATAGAAACTGCTTACCAAGAAGTGTGGGTTAAACAAACGTTTTGAATATAAAAACGTGTTCAAAATTTTACTGTAAATAATTTTAAAAGGCTCTATATAGACCTTAGAACTCATGCGATACAATCCTTAAAATATGGTAACTGAAGGAACGGACATTTTCGATCAATTGGAATCATGACATCCTGACCTAAGACACTAAAACTTATTCTGAGGCTAAGGAAACCAACTCTTGGTATAAACATTCCATGTAGAGTCATTTAAGACAAAATAGAGAAAATGCTCCATTCCAATTGGCTAAAACGGCGGTGTTAGGATAAAATGGTCAATTCTGTTAAATTGTATCACCGTTCAAGCATGGCGGCAATCACTGCACCTAATTTCACAGCATGTCAGTCTTTGGCTTGCACCAGAATTCAATTCATAATAAAGTAAAGTTCTCGGGAAGCTTTTGAAAAAAAAATACGTTTTGAATCTTTGCATATTCAAACAAATCAGTAAACTGTTCAATTCTGGCTTTCTAGTTTACAAAAATTGACAAAAAATAAAAACTCAGTGGAGTCTCTTTAAAAAAGTGCAAAATTAGTTTATGTTCTTTAAATATTGGATTTAGAGCATGTTTAACTATCACCACCTGAAGAAAGTAGCACTGAATGTAAAATAATTTGTCATAAACGCAGACAAATGTAAACAAAGTGGTATTTTGCTTTCCATACAAACATATTAAGTCGCAAGTGATTTCATTTTTCATGATTAAAGCCTTAAAGGTAAAGCATGTTTTGTTCTAGTAATGCAAAAAAAATCTAATGCAACTGCCGTACCTTGCTCATTATGGTTCAAAGTAGAATATCTTTTCAAATCGATTTTGAGCCGGATATTTATTTTACAAAATAATATCTAAACGTTTGATCGTTAGTGTCTTTTTCCTGTTTAAAATTTAGAAGTTAGATTTGAATTTTAATGCTTCGATTTTTGTATCGAGTATCTATCATGCCACGGATCATCGTGTTAAGTTTGCGCTGTCGTATAAAAATAGATATTTCATTTTGTATCCCAACAGTTGCAAAGCAAACAATAAAGTCAATCTTTCTTTCAATACACTAATCATCTGATTGCATATATGATTTTCTTAGTCGCCCATATAAAAGTTTATTTCTAAACATTCCTAATTTCTTAAACTTCCAGCTTCCTTTATTTTAAATTGTTCATCATGAATTTTAGGATATTAAGATGAAAATTTTAAATTACTCGCTCAACAATAAAAAAAATCAGATAATTGACCACACTGCTTTTTATGGCTTTGAATTTTTAGATATTATTTAATTTACCTATCTGTTGCACAGAAAACCGTATATTCTGCATTTGTGTTACTGTTTAAAGACTGTTTAAGCATTATCAGTGAAACTCAGAAGAGACAAATAAGTTGATTTTTCTTGCTCTGGGTTTCTAATGTATCCAAAAAGTAAGATAAATTTTACTGAAAAACGCATGTGTGGAACTTAGAACACGATGTTTTAACAATTGATGATTTAAAATAAAAATTAAACAAAAAGTAACAATGAAACTACTAACAATTTTAGTGGCCTCATATTTTTGTTTTGTTTCTATTTACCAGACATTTATCGAACACTCCTGTTTGGCTCCCGTTATGGGTTGAAACGATTCTGCGCAATGATTAGTGGAGGGTCGTCAATCCACCGGTTTGAATGGCTTTGTATTGAAAACATTTTAAAATTGTAAAAGATTTCGAATCACTTATGTTGAAATTTAAAACTATCACAAAATTAAAAGAAAAAGAGCAATGTTTCTTTCAACCCTTCTAATGTGTCTGATAGGACTTCTGGGATGGCATTCTGGCAGAGGTAAAATAAACGTTTTCTTTTTAACATTTTTTTTCTCTCCTGAATTCTTTGAATTTCCATTGGTTACGAACAAATGTTCTTTTTATGCAGTTATATTTTTATTTACTCATCTTTTTTAAGATTAAAGAACACCTAGATTAAACTCTATATTATTATTTTTCAAAGAATTTCTTATATAAATAAATTGTTCTATAATTTTAAAAGGGAACAGTTATAATTATTTGGTGTTAGTATTTTCCCCGATACTAACTTTGATTTGAATAAGTAAATGCTTCATTTAAAGCAGCACGCCTCCAGATTCATGCTTATTTTCATAAAAATTTTGAAAATGTAGATCTATTAGAATTTTTTTTTTTGTAAAATGAACAAAGAAAATAAAGTTTACATTGCATGTAAATTATCAAAAAGATTTCAAAATATGTATAGATCGCTCTTACTGCGTTAGTAAAGCAGTAAAAATATGGTAAAAATACTGCAAAACCGGTCAACAATCACACATAACATGGAAATTTTTAGTTTGAACCTTTTTGCTTTTCTTAAAATCTCGGTACTTATATTCTCAAGTTTGATTTTAATGATATATTTTAGTTCATCTGGAGGCATGCAGGTTTAATGATTGATTGAACTTTCAATCATATCGTATCAGCCAATATAAAAATTCAGTAAAATTAACAATTACATAGCATGAAAATTGAACACATATATTGCATGTTTTTATATATAAATAGAAACAAACATTAAACTTTTATTATCAGTTCAAGAACGAATGTTTCTAAATATCAATATAACCGAGTTTGAAAAGGTAATTTAATGCAAGCATGTCCCTTTATATATTAATGATTGGTAAAATAAAGTGTAAATAAAATATAAGCTATAGCAAAGAGATATAGATAGCAATTAAAGTTGATTCCCTCCAGGATATTTTCAGGTCATACAGAATTCCTTTTTTTTTCTTCCCCTTTTTTTCCATACATTTTTCTTTAATTTTCAATCTTTTATTAAAAGTGAAGCCTCGAGCTTATAAACGTTATTAAAAACCATTTCATATTTCAAAAAGAAACCTTTTTATAAACTACGTTATAATTTTGAATATTTGTATCGATGTATGAAAATAATATTACACTTTAATCTTATCATTATGCATGTAAGATTGATATTTAGATTAATAATTGTAATTTCAGACAAATGTGATTTTTATCAATATATGAATATACTGGGAAGAACTGATTCTTATTTTGTCGAACATATTTGGTTTCACTGTGCACCTATTACTTGTATATCAATTTTACACGTATTTGATGCATTATAATTTTAAACTAAATTATATATTTCAAAACGAGTTGTTTTTTTTCACCCCATTTGACTACATGTACTTTCGGGACAGTTAGGCTATGTCGTTTTTATTGCTTCCGAGTGATCTCACCTCTTTACCATATTTTATTACTGCAAAATTGCAGCGGTCAAGTGCTGCGTGGAGGCGATAAAATATGCAAAATTGCCCCGTACCTAACTTCATTGTTGTTATATTTTTCTGGTCATTTGCAGCGCATTAAGTGATAAAGATTGAATACCGCTGAAGCCTGTACTTGAGGGTGGCGTGAGGGATTTGCACTTTTCAATTATATTGGATCCCTCATTAACAGACTGAATCATTTTGTTGCTTTTAGTGATTCCGAAGTGTTTTCCCTTTACCAGATTTTATATACACCAAATAAATGTTGCAATTAGACTGTCACAGCTGTGAGGCAAAGCATTGAACTATTTACATACGATATTATAAGTTACGCAATGAAGTTATCTTTACTAACGCCAAAATAAGAATATCTATCATTTAGATATGATTAAAATAAATGAATAAACAAATAATACATGCCATTTTGGCTATCCATGTCTGTGATTAATATAATTATAAAATAGAATAAAATTATAAGAAAAAAAAACAAAAAAACAAAACTTGAAATCATACGAGTAAGTATTACAAAGATTTTTTGTTATTTTCTAAGGGCCATTATGCATCCGAAATGTTATCATTTTTTTCTGAAAAACTTTTTTAATTTTGATTACTTGTATTATTTGAAATATATATGAGCTATATTTTTGCTTCTTTTGTTCTCTTGGCAATTGTAATAATCATTGTGAATCAGTACTAGTCATAAAAACTCAAAATACTATTTTGTTTACATTACATTACTGTATGGTCAGTGCTTCTTTCTTCAGTTGCTTAGTGAAATAATTTTTAAAATTAAAAAAAAAAATTCTTAAAACGCAAAGTTTGACATTCAAAAACAAAAAACTATCCCCTTCTCATAATTTGCCTTTTAATATTAGCCCGCAAAACATAACTGAATGACAAATGTATTCGTTGAAAATTTAAAAAGATAGTCGTTATGCTTTGAGAAATACTATTAATAGAAGAAGGCATTTTGATTTACCCCTTCGGGAATTAACGGGGGGTTTAAAATCACAAATGTTGATTTTTTGAAAAATGTTAATTTGACTAAACTTAATAGAAAAACGTATAAAATCACAATTTTTATGAAAGAAGAATTTACATATCAACTAATTTTAGAAAAATTCAAATCACTTAAATTAAAAAATTTTAAAATGTTTAATTTCCAAACTTGAATAATAGGGCTCTTGTCCAAGAGAAAATTGCCGATCACTTGGATGTTTACAACAGCAAAAAACAAAAATGTTTCCATCTTTTTTAATTTTCTGGTTTTGCCCTATTTGAAAACTTTATGTTAAAAATCAGCTATATACCAAAAACTTTTGAGATAGTTTTTTTTAAAGAAACAAAGTTAATTTATGATTACCCGTCATTGGATCAGATAGAACAGATTGTGGGCTGAAGCTGTGCCTTTATATCACTTAATTTTTTTCAGGAGAATGAAACTAATTAAAGTCCAAATCATAGACTAAAAAAGGGTAAAAATATTTATTGAAACGGTCTTAAGGTAGCCCTATAGTTGGTCATTAGTCCTAGGACTTAGGACACAGTTAGAACTTTCTATGAAAAAGAGCCTTGTATTCAATCCATCTATAGCCAAAAAAAGATTTTTTAGTAAAGAAATCACAATGTTTACAAATAAACAAACAAAATTTCCCTCTCATTTTTGTCTCAAAGATTAAGCCATGCATGATGAACAATGGTATTTCAAGAAAATCAAACTTGTGAAAAAAGCACAGAGATTTAAAGAAAAGTAAAACTATTCATGATAAAAGTAATATTTTAAAAGATATGTGGCGATTAATGACAGATTTTGCAGTATTTTTTGACCATATTTCTATTACTTTACGAACTCTGTAACGGCTATTTTTGCATATTTTGACCTCTTTTCGGTAATTAACATGGGTTGTAAGTGCTAACTGCAATCTTTGTTCACTTCACAATAGTTTACTTTTTAATGCATTTTCAAAATGTTCTTGAAAAATGAATCTAGAGGAATGTCGCTTAAAAAAGAAAAGAAAAATCAGATAATTATATAAAAGTAGCACAGATAGTAAGATATGAGTGAATTGTATCTTATATCTTTTTACATCTAATATACTTGACAAAACGTTGCAATATCACTAATTTAAAAAAAAATGTAAAATAAATGAAAAAAAAAGATTAAAGTTTACTGTGAAATTGAACATATAGTGCCTTGTCAGAGAGAAAACCTTTGAGCTTTCAATGAAAAAAAATGCACTCAGTATACCAATGAAATCTTTCTGATCGATGTTATTATTATTAATATTAACAAATGTTTTAAATTTTATTATTACATTTGAATCTTTGATCCGTTAGATACATCGATTTTTAAGTGATGACACGTACCAATCATTCAGATGTGCTAACGTAATATTTAAAAAAAGATGCCGGAAAAGGATTTTCGATAAAACAAACCATTGGATGTATTTTTGTATCAATATTTACATATTCGAACGCAAATGAGCACACCCTGAATTTCTCGCTGACAGATATCTTTGAATACCATCCGTATGAAAGAATTCGGCATTTACAAATAAAGTATATGGCTTAATGGATTAAATATTTGCTCTAATATAATCTATAGCAGCGACAGTGTTTGCATATCACGCAATATTGCTTCGGAAAACAACGAAGTTGGTTTAGATATTAAAGATTTCTAAGAAACGGAAACTACCAGAAAAGGAGCTATTTGTAAACCATGTTGAATTGTATAAGTTTAAACCTTTAAATGCATTGTTACAGAAATTGTCTGAATTTGTTTAGTAGCGAAACATATACATAAGTATAAAAGTACCAAAACAACATACTTATACTATAGATAGTCGTATTAAAGCACCAGGCCTCCACATTAATGTTAATTTTCATGAAAAGTTTGAAAATGTTTTAAAAAGTAAAATATTGTGAAGTGAACAAAGAAAATAATTTTAACATCGCAAACAACATTAACGACCTATGTATTAAACAGTAAACTATTGTGAAGTGAAGTAAAGAAAATAATTGTTATATTGCAATTTGCACTTACAACCAACCCATGTTACCTAAAGAGGTCAAAATATGCAAAAATAGCCCTTACTGCGATAGAAACGCAAAAGAAATGTGGTGAAAAATACTGTAAAAGCGGTCATTAATCGCACTTAACCTTTTATCTTGAATATAGAGTGCTTTAATTAAAAGAACTGAAAACATCAAAGCCAACAAGCAGCTGTTGTGCTTAGTATAAACAGAAATAGAATTTACGTAATAACGTAATGAAAAGTCCATTGAATAATTATGTATTTAATGCATATAGACGGGTTTTTTTTATTTACACTAAGAACATTTTTTGTGACAATACTAACACAATTATGAACAGTCTAGACCATTAATATTCCAGCTTATTTGCATAATGATGATTGGGAATATATCTTATCGGTTTACTTATTTGCTTACAAAGAAAAGTAAATATTTGGATCTTAAAAAAGTATGTTTGACCTCGTCATTTATTTATTTTCGGTCAAAAAAATGTAAAAAAAAAGAAAGAAAAAAGAAAACTCGGACAAATATCAGATCTTTTGGTACCATTGCACCAGTATTCGTGGATATTTTCCCCGAGTGATAATTAAATCATCATTTTAGTTGATTGTGCTTTGAAAATCTGCAAATGCATTTGGAATTACTAGAACAGAGTGTAAATACATTTCAAGCCTAATTATACTAGTTATAAGCAAATTGTTCGGTGAGATTTTAGAACTAATTGCACTAATTACATAAGGCTGATATGCATGGCAAATTGTGTGCAATTAAATTAATTGATGAAATTCTATATATAACATTCATCGGGTCATTAAAATTGTATTTATTGAATGTGTGTCACTAGTCTTGTCTCAAAATAGATATTTAAAATTGATATTTAATTGATAGACATTCCAAGCTTCCATTATTGCAACTGCTCTCATCAGAGTTTGTGAATATCAAGATGAAAATCAAAGCTCCAACAGTGTAAAGCCTGGTCAGATTTGGACAGCGCGATTTCAACATCGTACTTTCGTGTTTTCATCATCGTTTCATCAGGACGAAATAAAAGAATCCCAATTGTCCAAACGGAACACCGTATTAGACAAATCAATTTTAGAAATTAAGAAAGATAATGGTTTATACATTATATAATAAGTACTTATATGATTTTATTTTACAGTGAGTTGTTCTTATAGCACAGGTGGAGAAACGAAAATTCGAAAAAGTCTTATATATATTGACTCATATGATCCTGTGTCAAGACCTTCATCACAGACCCACATAAAGGCTGGACTAAATATCTTCGCTATAGACGAACTGGTACGTGTTTTTAGAACGAAAAAATAAACCCCTCTGAAAGCGCCATACACGAAACTTTTGACCTTTTACCGTTTATTGTTTATATTGTTATTAAAATGATTACAGAATACCTAGAATTAAACCGATTGGACCATGCAAGAAATCACCGTCATACTAAAATAGCTCGGTTAATGTAAACGAATATCTAATCGTATGCATTCTTTGTAAATTTTATTCTTTTAAGAAACTACCATAAGGTTATGAAATCAAATTAATTTTACTTCTTTAATTTTTTATAAAATTATTTTATCAAAATAATATAGCTCTCTTATTTTAGACTATTACCTAAACTTCCACACATCTTGGTATGAGTCAAAATATATGTATTTAATAATGAATGAGTCTGTGCCTTTTCAAATATTTTAATGTTTTGAATTGCTATATAGTTATTTTAGTCAGGTACGTAATTTTCTTTTCTTTCTATTCAATACTACAGAGTGTTCAGAAAGTTGTATTGGAAATTTCAGGAAATATGTTACACGCGTGCAATCAATACAATATATTTTCATTTTCATTTTGCTTTAATGTATTTTGCATCGTTGTCTGTTGTTGTTATTGCTGTAATTATTATTATACGAGCTAAATGGGCGAAATGATATTCAAAGTATAACAATAACGTAAAGATAAAACTAGGAATCATTTCCATTTAACATGCATTATTGTATGAACTTGTGCTTAAAAGACCTGAAGAAGTTTATCTGCAAGAAACAAATTTATATAATATGAATTTTACTTTTAGAATTTACAAGATCAAAAGCTGACCTTGGCTGGATGGATGACCTTTGTGAGTATGCTTTTTTGTCTGAGACATTGGCAAGAAAACATTACGCTTCAAGGCCGCTACAAAATGCCGATTCTTTTATTTTGTTATTGCTTGAATTACATAATAACTAGAAGACTATGTAACTTTAAAATTTTATTTATGTTTCAAAGAAGTAATAAAAAGCCTGAATTATTTCTTACATTGTCCTATGTAACTACACTTATTTGCTTTTGGATCCATTCCAAAATCCTCGCTGATCGGACAGGTTTCAACCTTGGTGTTGTAATTTCTTTTGGGGAGGGGATGGGTGGACCGGTTTAACATTTATATGATGAATAACAATGATCTGTTCTACTAGTAGAAAGATTGATTAAATCATATGGTTATGCGATATTGCATCAATTATCTCACATCTGTAAGCAACAACATCTAAAAATAATAATTACCTGGTTTGCTGTCACGTATGATACTAAATACTATTAACTTTACTCTTTGTGGTAGAACAAACCTACCATTATTGACTAAAACTAAATGCACTTAAAATTTTGTGGCAATAGGAATGGCATGACGATAGAATTATGTGGAACACCACCGAAAATGATGATATAAAATACATTTTTGCAAAGCCAGAGAATATTTGGAAACCTGAGTTGATCATTGATAACGCGTAAGTAACAATCTAATTCCTTTTTAAATCAAAGCACAGAAGGCGCTGAATTTGTTTGAGTCTCAGAATGTCAGAAAGGTGAAGGTTGTGAGATTATAAACCAATTTGTTTTTATATAGTGCCACCAATGCTTTCCAGTGTTTTAACTGTAGTAAATTTGCAATAAGACTAATTGCAACACTGATAGTCAATTCAATGTTTATTTGACTTATTTTTTTTTTTGCCTCAACTGGGATTTGAACTCCAAACCTCTCGATTCAGAAGCGAGCGTGCAAACCCCTCGGCCACGGTGAAGTTATATATTAAGAAAACCATATTATTCTAAATTAGGGTTTGTAACTCTTATTATTTCGACGCTAAACCTGTTGTTTAACACAGATGTAAATAATCATAGAGCTTACTGTAAGCATGTATATCTATAAAGAATGAAACAATATTAGAAATCTTCGACCATTCGGGAACTACTTTGCTTGAAAATAAATGCGCCTGTCATTTCACAATCTTTACGCTTTCATCTCCCCTGAATTTTTCGGCGTTAGTGTACATATAAAGGGAAGTAACCGCATCAAAAAAGTGGACTACTTTAGGCATTTGCAATTAACAGCATTAGGCTCTGAAATTTCGCTACCATTATTTGTTTGGTCTGACGACCCAAACAAATAAAAATTCTTTTTAATGAATACAAATCGATATTAAAACAAGGTATCGTTGCCTGTTATTGAAACAACACCAATAACTGGTGTACCATATCCCATGCTGCTAGCACCTATTTTAGAACGGTGGCTGTATTTCAGGGAAATTTGAATACAATATAGATTTAAAACGATATTTGTGCTGCTTTTAAAGGGTGCACAATACTTATAATTTTGGTTGCATACTTTAAACAACCATTGTTTCTTTTTTTATAAAACATGCAATGGTATTATGAAACCGACATTCTTTTGAAAGTTCTGAGTAGGCTTCGCCAAACCTTGATGTTTTAATATCGTCATAGATTGGAAGATCTTGGACTGATTAGAGCAGAGGATTTGTTGTTGCGGGTGAAAAATACCGGAAGCGTCGAGTGGGACCCGCCCGTTTTGTTTATCACACATTGTGAGGTAATAATGTTTGGAATATACCTCAAAATAGCATTGCAGAGTGGTGTAGTTAATTAATGTTTAGGGAATGCGTTGACCACTTGTTCGCAAATTTCCGCATATTCCGCCATATTCCATATCTTATACAATTCAAATGAGCGTCGCTATGACCTGATTAAACAACAAGTCTTTGTCAACCGAACGCTTTCATGTAATGTATCAGATACGGAAAATGAACGGAAGTTTACGGAATTTAAATTGTTTAAAAATGGCAGGAAATAAAATTTGATATTACATGTTACAGACTAAAAGATCTGGATATTATTGAAAGTCAAGCACTTCTTCTGCGCTTGAAATACGATGGTACGATAGACTGGGAGCCCCCAAAGTTGTTCATTACACACTGTGAGGTGGGTTCTTCTTCAACATTATGAAGTCGTTTTCATATATAAATATATTTCCCAGCGACCACGTTCTTACTGAATATATTATGCCAATTTTGATTTGTGTCAGGCTGTTTAGAGAAAAGCAAAGCTGAAATTGATAAATAACTTAAATGTCAAAAGTAATAAAAAAGAAAACTTACTTCTATTCATTCAAATTACCAATCACCAAATATCGTCAACAATTTTTTGTTTGTTTCATTTTAACAGTCTAAAAAATACATTCCTTCCACATGCAAAACTGCTTTTGACATTTGGGCATATTTAAGTATCCTACGAGCAATAAATACCGCATGCTTTATGAAAACTTGAAGAGCAATGGCATCCATAAGCCCGAAGAATAAGTAAACAACCCAGCGTTCGTAAGAATTCCAAGTTTTCCAATTTCCTAGCCACTTTTTGAATGTTTACACATCTGTCAACACTTATTCATTGTCTGTTACAACCCTCAAATAAGTTTTCTTCCTTTTAAAAAGGTGTATGACTAACAAATCCAAATGACATCCCTCTGAATCAAACACAATTAGTTTCCTCCAGTGAAATACACAACTTTTAAAAATGGCGGCCGCTAAAATTTCACAAAGCCAGGTCTAATATAAATTCTCAGTAAGTAACAGAAATATGGATGGATGGTTGGACTTTTTCTCCTACTATAATTGTTTGTTTTTATTATTAAAACAAGCGATCATTCATATTTCCTTTTAATAAAATGAATAATATCACCGCCATTTAACATTGATTGTCGAACTTATTTTCGGCCCAAGACTTCTTGTATTTAATGAGAGATTTGTCTAAATGGGACTCACAATGGGGGAAACAGATTTTAATTTTAACGTTAATATTAAGGAAATTTCGTTTTAACTTGTTTTTAAGCATAAAATAAAAAGAAAAAAATTTGTTTGTTGTGCAAGATGTAATTTTATTTCATCTCCTGAACTTTAAAAACAGTATTCTAATACTGTTTTTAAAGTCCACTAGATGAAATAACAATGTATGAGTAATAACAATATTAATAAATAAATATTACTATAATTATGAATATTGCACCATACAAAATTATTATGTTCATGTTCGTTTTTATGTTTTTTTTTGTATTACTATTGCTTTACTTTAAAATAATAAGCACGTGTGTTTTTGATTTTTAAAACTTTGATATAAACAAAGTTATAATCTAGCTATGTTCTGACCACTGCAAAAAATGTCACGTTCAAAAATTGTGTGATTTGCACAGTATGGCAGAATGCTCAGTCCGTTTTTGCAATTCTACCGACTATAAAACATCTAGTATATTCACGTATAAATGCAATGGTTGACTTTTTTACCTAATGGAGTATTTATAAAAGCTTTTTTTTCTTACATTGTCTGCACGAAATTTAAATTTCTATTATCTTCAGGTGGATATTACCTACTATCCGTATGATACACAAAAATGTGCCGTGGAACTGTTGAGTTGGTCTTATACCATTGATGAAGTCATTTTAGACCATCTGTTTGAAGAAGTTAACCTCGAAGACTTCCAGTGAGTAATTTCCTATAATTTCACTTGATTTCGGGAACATTAAGTTTCGTAGTTTTGTCACAAAGAACGTGTTCGTGGGTTCTTGTCAGGGGCTGCGTACTGTAAACGTTGCCTTTGCCTTGTTGATCTTTGTTCTCATTTTTTAACTGAATGGACTGTCTCGTTTTCCAAAAGATAAAATGTAGAATATATGATGCAAATAATCTTACAGCAGACGAAATGAAATTTCGTTAGATCTTTGATTCTTGGAAAAACGTACCCACCGAAACCACGAAAATAAGTGTCCCACGGATAGTATTAATTTTGCAATACTAGAATGGTCCAATTTAAAATACAACATACTTGTAAAATTTCTAACGGGAGAAGAGTTTGGAATATATTAAACAGATATGTTAAGGGATAGTTTTTGAATGAGTAGTAAGTTGGACACACCCAGTCACCTGTCTTCAATCCTCAAAAAATAATCCGTGATTATGCTGGACGAGAAAGGATAAATTAGATATAGATATCCTTTTGAGGATTACTTTAGTAACTAATTATTAACCACCCAAAAATTTTTATGTTTTTATTTTTTTGCTAATTCCTATAAATACTTGCTGTGTCTATTTTTATATTTACGACCAGGTTTATATTATTATTAAAGCATTTAACAATACAGTTCCCAATAAACAAAATTGATGTCAGTTATTTTACTGTATTTCTAAATCTATTCACAGGCAACAAATTTCTATTTCAGCGGAAATAAAAGTATTGGTAGTTGATTTAAAGTTACTTAATTTTTTTGTCATTTTTATTTATGTGGACTTTTAAAGTATTGACAAAAACTTAAAAGACGGACTTGATTGAGCTGACAGTTGATTTTAGTGGATTTTACGGTATTGTTTTTTTTCTTTGCAGAATGAATAAGTATCAGTAAAAGGCTTGAGCATAATTACCGCCAGCAAACAAAAAAAATATATTTCAGCGGACATTTAAGTACTGGCACTTAATTTTTGGGTTGGGGCGGAGGGGGCTTAATTAACACTATTGACCGAAAAATGCTGGCGATCTTATATGTAATGACATATAACTTAGAATTGTTACACTAAATTTCGGTGAACTTAAAAGTATTGACTATATATATATATATATATATAAACAACAACAATGTCATCGAGAAAAATACTATTTACAGAAGATGTAATTGTTCTAATTTTAAGTAATTATTCATTTATATCAGGGAACACGGGGAGTGGCAGATTTTGTACACGCGTATCGAAGACAGAAACTTGACCGAGCATCTTCCTGATGGAACGTTGAGAGTCTACCCTCAGCTTAACTTCTGGATTGCACTACGTAAGTGTGTGTGTGTGTGTGTGTGTGTGTGTGTGTGCGTGCGTGCGTGCGTGCGTGTGTGTTTGAGTTTGTTTATGCTCGCCACAGGCTGCCCGTATGGGCGACTTCCCCCGAAGAGTGCTAGTATTAGTCATTTTATATTTTGGAGGAAATTGCAAGATACAGATACAGAAAAATGTTGCCTTAAATAAATGTCACGTGATCACCCATGTTTTGAGAGGTTTTGTTGTTGTTTTTGTTGATGTCTTTTTTTAAACTGTACACATCTTTATATCATTCTTTACTTACCGCAAATGCTACAAACATATGGTGAAAACTTTACCATATACAATTGTAATAAAAAGTGCTGAATATCAAAAAGCGTACGAAATTCGCCATACTGAATTTCTTATAGCTCAAATTTGTTTTTACTCTGTTATTTTCACTCTCATTAATTAATGTTTATTTATTGCAGAGAGACGAGCGGGATTTTACAACTTAAATGTTATAATGCCGATTGTCATGACGTCATTTTTGGTCGATTTGGTGTTCCTGGTACCCATAAGTTCGGGGGAGAAAATCACGTACATTCTCACTGAGTTTCTTGCACTTCTGGTTCTTCTCACAATCGTCATACCCCCTACCTCCATAACCGTTAGTGTGTTAGGTAAATATTCTTCTCTAACCCTTTAAGCTGCATGCCTCCAGATGAGCCAAATTATTTCTAAAAAAATGTGCCAAGGTCTTAAGAAGAACAAAAAGATTCAGGATTCAAGTAATAATTTACATGTTGTGTGCGATTAATGACTGATTTTGCAGTATTTATCGCCATATTTCTACTGTGTGATTAAACGCAGTAAGAGGTAAATATTTGACCTCTTTTTGGTAATAAACTTGGATTTTACCTGCCGTTAGCAATGTGTAAATTACTGTCTTTTGGTCACTTCACACAATTTTGTACTTTTGATTACACTTTCAAAATTTTACTTGAGAATTGGCGTGCTGCTTTAACCATCACACAAATTCAGCAATGGATATGAAAAAGTTCATTCTAAGTTTCTGGGATTTCAGTATAAAAATATATATAAATTGAGCTACATATATGTACTGATGGCTGGCAAAGACTGATCACTTTCGGTTTATAGCTTTTTATCTTGGAGGCGCACGAAAGATTATTTGTCCTATCCAACTTAAGGAGAAAGATAAGAAGAAAACACTTTGATTTATATACATTGTCTACATGTTTATTTCTAAACAATTTAATGTATCAACTATATCTATCTATGTCAATGTTCTTGTTATTTCAGCGCTATGGTTGGGCTTTGTGCTCATTGTTGCAGCAAGTGGTATTATGTCAACAGTCATCGTCTTGTATTTATACCACAAAGAGGGCTCCCCAGCAAAGGGCTCGTTGATATCAAGGATATCAGTATGCTTTGCTAAAGTACTGTGTTGGAAAATGGCAAGCGTCGGGCTCGTGGACAAGATCGATAAATCTGGGGTGCGTCAGATATCAGTTAAGTCCATTAAACTTAGTGATATAAGGCCACCAAGTTACCAGGACTTGAAGAAGAGAGGTCTGACAACGGCAACGAAACCTGATGTTAAAACAGCGTCGCCAAAAGTCGCAAAGGCCATTAAAGATGAAGACGACAACGAAGATGAAGAACGTGACATCACATGGAAGATGGTCGGACTGGTTTTTGACAAGTTCTGCTTCTATCTATACCTTATATTTACAATTGTAATGAACTTCACCTTTGTTCTGGCACTCTCTGCAGGTGGCCAGACATCTGCTAAATGAACAAAAAGACGGTCAATGTTCTGCTGTAAAAAGCATTTACTGGTATTACATGTTACGGAAACTTAAACAACAATCATATATTTTTTTAGTTATTACATTTTAGTATTGTAGTAGTTTCGTTTTACATGTATCTACGATTTTTGTACTGAATAGGAAAGCCGGTTTGGTTGATTAACCAAACATGTGCTAGAATCGACGTAAACATGTGATTTTCTGCTATTGCAAATATAAACATGTTCAAATTTTAAATTTATTGAACTGTTAAGAGAATCATTGGTTTAACGGCAACATATATAATATTTATATTTCTGGCTTTGTGTGTCTCCCTTTTTCTGAGAGAATTTGTTTAAATAGTGAAAAGAGTGCATTTACTTAAATACACAAAAAGTTTAAATATTCTATTGTTTGCAGACGGCCGGATATAGTTTTATACAATGCTTAATGTAATACATTTTTAGCATGTACTCTAGTCTTTATTATGATAGTTATCAGACATTTGTATTTGTTAGCTGTAACAAGAATTAAAATGATAAGACTATTAAAGGAACTCCACGGAGGCTCAAAAAAATAAAACGTTTAATTTCAAATGTTTTCATATATCAGCTGGGGCACTTAAAAAAGAAAGATATGTAAAAGAAAATCAAGAAATAAACTCAGAAATGAATTGAAAATCGTATTAAAATGCTATTATTAGCCTGAATGAGTGAAAAGCGTTGCAACGTTTTCAGGTTTTATGTCATTCTTTACAATTAGGTTAATTAACTGGAAAATTGAGTGAGCGATAGGACTGAAACTTTGAACACAAGTATTTGGTCTAGAACTTCATTAAATGGAATATTTATCTTGTAATATTATTTCAAGTTCCATCATGTAAGTGGTGATGTCCTTATAAAGCGGATAGTGGCTCTTTTTGCATCAAAATGTGTCAACAAGTCGAATCTGTGTTAATTGTAGGACCTTGAATAAAGAAATGCATTTTACATCGCTGTTGTAATTATAAACGCTTACAGGATTTTAAAGTACTTTTTAGTACACTTTTTATACAATATATAATGCCTTGACAATAAATTTTAAAGGTGATCCTTTTATCACTGCTATGACACAAATGTTACATATAATTATTTATTTTTGATTTTGTTTTCGCTGTTTAGGGTTGCTATTTTGGTGCGTTATTTTCCAGCATTTTCATATTTATTTTATGTTCGTGAAGTTGGCAGCCTAGCAGCCTAACAGCCTGAAGTTGGCAGCCTAGCAGCTTAGTAGCCTGAAGTTGGTATCCTAGCAGCCTAACAGCCTGAAGTTGGCAGCCTAGCAGCTTAGTAGCGTGAAGTTGGTATCCTAGCAGCCTAGAAGCCTGAAGTTGGCAGCCTAGCAGCTTAAGAAAACTAAGAATAGTACAAACATGAAAATCGTCGGAAATACATTAGTTACACTTCTTTAAATAATTCCAAGCCGTTTTCAATATTGTGATCTTTATTTTCTAAGATGTTGAACTTTATCTAGACATAATTTTTTCATTCTGACGCTTCGAAATTTGTGAAGTTAGCAGCGTAGCTGAATAGTACAAACATGAAAACCGTCGAAAATGAATCGGTAGCACACAATTTCACGTCTTAATTCAGTATCGCGTACTTTATTTTTTTTTTCAAAACTGAACTTTGTTTTTTTTTATTTTGACACTTCGAAATTTATGAAATTAGCATCCTGGCAGCCTGGCAGCCAGAAATACAAAACCAAAATCATGGTAACACATTAAGCTATTTACATAATGTTGTAAAAAATCTGTTTTTGACTTCTGAAAGTATCCAATATCAGTGTCAAAAATGTATTGATCAAATTTAATTCACGTGGCAATTTTCCGAGAAAGTATCTTTAAATTATGTCAGTAAAAATATTATTATAATTTTGTATATTAGAAAAAAAAGACAATTTATTTGGGTCAACACTAATTTTTCAACATGACTTACAATGGAACAATAATAAAGCCATACTCTTAAGTGTTTTGTAAATATTGCATAAAAAGAAACTGCTTACCAAGAAGTGTGTGTTAAAAGTTATAAAAAACGTGTTCAAAATTTTACTGTAAATAATTTTAAAAGGCTTAAAATAGACCTCAGACCTCATAAGATACAATCCTTAAAATATGATAACTGAAGGAACGGACATTCTCGATCGATTGGAATCATGGCATCCTGACTTTTGACCCTAAAACTTATCCTGAGGCTAAGGAAAAAAATCCTTGGTATAATGGTATAAGTGACGATAATGATTACTTCCCTGCAAATTTGTAAGAAGATAAGAAGACATGTCAGCCATTGTCGTTTTAGACGAGGTTCAACGTACGCGAATCAAGTCAAGTGGTTTTAACTGCCCCATTCCAATTGGCTAAGACGGGCGGTGTTAGGATAAAATGGTCACATCTGTTTAGGGGGCAGGGGACATATTCGAATGATGGCCCCGGTCAATTTTTTTAATAACTCAGACATGGTGTTTTGAAGGTACTGGCAACTTCTGATATTTCTCTGTCATTGTAATTATTTCTTGTTCGTAACTAGCAAATGAACATAATTTTTAGGTTTTTACCCGAAACTAAGCATTTTGTTAGCTTTGTATGTATTTGTGACTCTCCAAATGGAGGTGAAAAGTTAAAAATCAAGCTTTGACAGTTGGCGCCAAACAAGTAAGAAATTTCGGATAAATTTTGTGAATAATCTAAACGTATGACAGACACTTTATTGATCATTTTTATTGATCATTTTTGAAAATACCATAGCTTGCACTGCGTGTTAGTGATACGTTTATAGGAATCGGGCGCATTCTGGGGTATGCTGCACCTTCATGAAGATTGCCCATGTTGGTTTATTTTAGGTGTGTTTTTGGCTGGGTGGGGGTAAACATAATGTGTGGCACTACCATAACGATCAAACAAAAAAGTAACGATGAAACAACAGAAATTTTAATGGCCTCGTATTTTGTTTTGTTACTATTTACCAGACATTTATCGAACACTACTGTCTGGATCCCGTTATGGGTTGAAACGATTCTGCGCAATGATTAGTGGAGGATCGTCAAATCCACCAGTATGTATTGAAAACATTTTAAAATTGTAAAAATGAAATTTAAGTGAAATTTAAAACTATCACAAAATTAAAAGAAAAAGAGAAATGTTTCTTTCAACCTTTCTAATGTGCCTGATAGGACTTCTTGGATGGCATTCTGACGGAGGTAAAATAAACATTTTCTTTGATCATTTTTATTCTCTCCTGAGTTCTTTGAATTTCCATTGGTTAAGAAATAATGTTCTTTTTTATGCAGTTTTATTTATTTAATCGTATTTTTATAGTAAACAACACCTAGATTAAACCCTATGTTATTTTTTTCAAAGAATTTCTTATACAATAAATTGTTCTATAATTTTAAAAGGGAGCATTCATTATTATTTGATGTTAGTATTTTCCCGATACTATCTTTGATATGAATAAGTAAATACTTCATTAAAATTTTCATATTCATATCGTACCAGACAATATAAAACTTTCAGTGAAATTAAGAAAAAATGCATACATGTAGTATGAAAATTGAACATATACATGTATACATTGCATGATTTTTTATATATGAATAGGAATAAAAGTGGTCAAACATTTAACTTTTATTATCATTTCAAGAACGAATGTTTCTAAATATTTCTAATATAACCGATTTCTAAAAGGTAATACAATGCAAGCATGTCTCTTTATATGTAAATGATTTGTAAAATAAAGTTTAAATAAAATATAAGTCATAGCAAAGGAATAGAAATTAAAGTTGATTCCCTCCAGGATATTTTCAGGCCATTGAGGAATTTTTTTTCTACACTTTTTACTTTAATTTTTAATATTTTATTAAAAGTGAAGCATCGAGCTAATAAACCATATTAAAACCGTTGCATATTTCAAAACGAAACCTTTTTTATAAACTACGTTATAATTTTGAATATTTGTAACGATGTATGCAAATAATATTACATTTTAATCCTATAATTATGCATTTATTATATATATTTAGTTTTATAATTGTAATTTCAGACAAATGTTATTTTTATCAACTAATGAACGTAAAAAACCGTGCAACAAGCACAAGTAGATACTAGGAGGCACTGATTCTTATTTAGACCATCGCGTTTACCTATTATTTTATATCAATTTTACACGTAATTGGTACTATTAATTAAGTTTAAACTAAATAATATATTTCAAAAAGATTTTTTTTCACTCTATTTGACTGCTTTTGGCTATGTTGTTTTCATTGCTGCCAACTCTTTACCAGATTTTATTACTTCACAATAGCTGGTGTACAGTAAAATGTTGTCCTGTATCTCACCTCAGTGTTGTAATTTTTGCTTGTCCTTCGGGACCTTTGATTGCAACACATTATGTGTTGAAGATTGAATAGCGCTTATTTTGTCATTATTATATCATTCATGAACAGACTCTGCAATTTTCATGTAATTTTGTTATTTTCATTGCTTTCAAGGGATCTACGCTTTACCATATTTTATACACATCAAAGAAATATTGCAAATGAATTAGACTATACGTATGTATAACATTTATGAGGCGAAGTATTGCAACTATTTACGTACTCTTAAAACATACGAGTATGTAAAATAGAATTAAATTAAAAAAGAAAACAACAACGACGACGAAAAATAATAAATAAATTCAATAAATGCAAAACAAAAATATAATTCACACAATTCAGGCAGATGCAATATTCGTTTCTAATGATTTGCTATTTTTCAGTGCTTTAATATTATAGGATGATTAATTTATTACACTCAACTATTTCATATCGTGTGGTCTTAATTCTTTCTTTCTATTTATCCTTTTTTCCTTGGAGGGCTTCGAAATAAAATGACATTTTACAATCACATGAGTTAACTAAAATAGGATACTTGTCCAATTAAATATATCCCCTCCAAAGACTCAACAAAAGGTTCCTGATGGACTCTGTCAATTCATTCTTTTAAATATTTTTGTCAAACAAATAGTTAATTAGACAATATGTCACGTGAAAAACTCATATTACTTTGTAAAAGGTCAATGTCGCAGCAGGGGTTTATCTTTCTAATATTTCTGATAATTTCTTAATATTAAAAGTGCAGTTTCGGCCTTTTGTTCATAACGTTTGCATAATTATATTAATATGATACGTCTAAATATACGTAAAGGTTATCGATTAGAATTAGTAAGTACCTAAAGTGCGTTTGACCCCAAAGTGCGGTGTTACACTGTACGTTTGTTCAAAATTTCTAAATCCAAAACAAAATACGAAAGATTTAATTAAAAACGTTAACTTAAAACTAAAAACGATGAAAATGGTTGGAAATGTAATTAAGTGCTTATATTGTAAAAACAAAAGTCCTCAAGCTTTATTTTTTTCTAATTACATGTATGTTAGTGTGTTAACCATACATATATTTATATTTTTCAAAGCTGTATGCCTCAAGATGAACTAAACTATTAAAAAAAATAAAAAGGTATTGAGATTTTAAGAACAGTGAAAAGATTCAAGATAAAAGTAATAATTTACATATTATTTGCGATTAATGACCGATGTTCAGCATTTCTTACCATATTTCTATTGCGCTACGAACTCAGAGTCGGGTAATTTTGATTTTATTGTATATCACCTCTTTGCGGTAATAACATGTGTTGTAAGTGCTAATTGCAATGTAAAAAATATTTTCTTTGTTCAATTCACAATAGTTTACCTATAAATACATTATCAATATTTTTATGAAAAATGGATCTTGGGAAATGCTTCTTTAAAAAGAAAAGAAAAACCCGTTGTATAAAAGTAGCGCAGATAGTAAAAATC